GCCCCCCCCATCGTTCTCGTTCCTCAACAACTTCCCTATTTACTACGCTACTATCCGGACCTCCGTCCCTCTCGATAATAATACTAGCCGCCTTCCCCGCGATTTCCTAGTCTCAAAATCCCTAAGAACGTCTACAGCAATTTACGGCCGCTTTCTAAACGTTGCTAACCGAAGTGATTTCGAGGCCTACCGCCGCGCCTAAGTAAGTACTTCCCTAGCTCGAGAAGTTCTTAGGGAGTAAAGAAGAATTCGAAACCTAGGTTTTAAACGCACAAATAAAACTCTACATAGATAAACTCGCTATTAGCAATTTAGACGCGTAGTTTTACTATCTATTCGCCTACTTATCGCCTACTATTAAGAAGCCTCTCATCGCTTTTACTTCTAACTCCCTATTATTAAAATCGTTTATTATTTTTTTCGGTAAGCTCCGGCTTACTTATAATAATCCTAATGCTACGAAACGTACTAATTAAGAATTTTATTAGCTATACTAAAAGCCCGGCTCTAAGGAATCTATAGCAGCCTTCCTCACCCGCTTTAAGGAAATACTTTACCGTACCCGTACAGATTTTTAATTAAATACCACTAAGGTTAGTTAATTAACGGCCTCCCTAAATAACGACTAGAAATAACGGCTTTTAGAAAGAATCGACATACCTAAATAATATTTATTACTACTTAAATACCTTCGCCGCCTTAATAGTAATACCTTTCTTACTTCGACCCCGAGGCACCTAGTTGAAGTTAATAGTAACCTAATAGATACCTCTATTAATACTTTAGTAATAAAACCTTCCATGTCGTTACCGTCTTAGAAGTAAAAGAATAAGTAGAAGAAGGATAGTAAGTGTACTAGCTATAGTTGTAGGTTATACTAATTTAAGAAGTGCCTTCGGATTTCGAAGATAAATATAGTCCGGCTATAACCCGGTAGGGGCTTAAATAGCTACGATAACAATAGTAGAAGAGGAGAAGATTCGGATTGAGAGTTACTTAATAATATTAAAAGTAAGGGAGCGCTACTATATTTAAAAAGAAGAACCTTTAGTAGCTTACTAAGTATACTATTTACTAGTTAAATATATAGTAAAACTACTATGTAATACCCCTTACTACTTAACCGCTTTAATAACATCTACTTACAATATAATTATAAGAGGGAATAAATATTATATTTTATAAGTATAAGGATTTATTAAGGCTACCCCTTAACGAAGGGATTATAGAAACTATAATAATATAGTAATTACTATTAGTAAGAGAAGTAGAGTATTATAAAGTACTAGGTAATAGCCTTAATTCTAATTATTAACCGGGTATAGATTTACAATACGGTAAGAGAGGTCCCTAGATAGGTAAAGTCTAAAAATATCCTTTAATTAAGTCTTAATACCTACGGCCATAGGAGCGCAGCTCTATAAGGGTAACAGCGGGTACGCTAGTTATTAATTTAGGTAGGGAATAGGGAGTTGTATAGTGTTTGTTTAGGAATTTAGATAGAGAGATCTTTCTTTTCTAATATTATTACTCGTACCTATTTAACTAGGCATTTAGCTAGGAGCGGTTGTAGGGGATTTTGGTTATTCTTCGTATATTTAGTAGAGTACTTTCTAATATAGTGTGACGAACGGCAGTCTGATCTGCCTAAATGAGATAGTTGAAGGTAAGAACTATTAGAGTTGTTCAGTAAAGTTAAAGGGTTTACAATAAGTATGTTCGTAATACTAATTTTAATAATAATAATTAAGTTGTATTGACTACTATCGAACTATCTAATAATCTAAATTTTCTAATTGTCCCTTTATACTTCCCGTATTGTTTATTCTATAATTAGTTTACTTATATTATTATAATACTAGCTTACTCTATAAGTCCGGCGTTGGTTTATTATTGTAAGCCCGGAATTAGCTTACTAACGTAAGCCCGGAGCTGGCTTACTAGCGTAAGCCCGGAATTAGCTTACTAGCGTAAGCCCGGAATTAGCTTACTAGTGTAAGCCCTATCTCCAACGCCTTTCTTAACCCTGCCCTAGCCTATAGTTATACGAATTAGCCTTTCTAAATTGCTTATACTACCAATGGTCTAATTAGCCCGTATATTTACCTTAAATTTGTAATACAATACTTCCCCTCCCTAGCCGACGTCCTCGATAGTTTATTAATTCTTTACTATTATAATTTGTATTCTTATACGCTACGTCCTCTATTATTCTAACTATAGTAAATTATTCTTTTTCCTTTATTATTTAAATATATTATCCTTTCGCATTTAGAAACGTCCTTCACAATCGGCGTTCAAACGCTAAAATTTAATTACTAATATTAAGCGTTTTAGAATTATCATTATACCTTATATTTATTATACTAATCGTTATTTTCCTTATAAGAAGATTTCCAATAATAGAAAGTATATTAAATATATACGGTGGGTATGTCCTTATAAAATTATTAATACTAATATAGAATATAAAGTTCCTTCTTATTATAATTGTAGGTATTATTAACGATTTCTAATAATTAGTATTATTATAACCTTCAATTAAGTTTAGTAAACGAAGGATAAACTTCTTTATTCTATTAAGGAACGTTTAAAATAAATCGATATTTAATAAAAGGATTTAAAGACGTAGGTTGCCTAATTATCGGATTTAGAGCGGTAGTAATAAGATTTAATATTTTAGGATTACAAATTATTTCTTTATAGTATAGCTAAATTAGAAGTTTTAGAAGTAGAGGAGCGGGCGGTTAATTTAGAATTAGAGCCGTTATTTATAAAGTAGCCGGTAGGGAAATTTACCTCCTTTCCGCCCGTTAATTAAGCTTCGCTAAATATATTTACCTTTTTTTCTTTTTAGTTGGGCAATCCTTCTACCCTAACCGATCCAGGTTCTTCCAATAGAATTCCTCTAACTTTCTAAGATAATTCAAATTCCTAACGGGTTCCTACGTATTATTCTTAGGGCTAAATCCATCCTACTTAATAAAGTATTCTAATTCTCCTTCCTTTATTCTTAAATTTAAAATTTATTCTATATCCTATTCTTCTTCCTCGTCCTTAATATTGGTTCGCGTATTAACTTATATATTTTTAAGTATTAATTTTAGTAATATAACGTAGAATAAATATAATTTTAATTTTATAGTTTCAGGAATATCTAATTAATATACTATATCGGAAATTTTCTTTTTAATTTTAAATAGCCCTACCTATTAGTCATCGAATTTCTTACTAAATCGCTTTATTCTAAAATTCCTAATAAATAAAAGGACTTTATCCTTCTCTTTAAAGTAAAGTCCCTCGAGCCTTTTTAGGTTGAAATATCGGCTTATTTTTTATTTAACGAATTCTAATTTTCTTTTAAACTTTTTATATAGTATATATAGTTTCTCGGCCTTAATTAAAGCCCTAGGGACATTCGTATTTAGTCCTTCCAAGAGTTCCGGCTTATACCTATAATTTATAAAGAAAAGTAAAACCTTAATAGTTTCTATAAGGGAGGTATTATATATTAATTATATTATAAATAGTAATTTTACTTAGTTACTTTATTCGAAATTAATATAATTCCTTAAATATTATTCTATAATTTAATTAATCCTTTCCGTTTGTTTATTTGTTTGTAGGTAATATACTATTAATATCTTACTCTTAGTACCGAATTTAATTATTAATATTTACCAAAATTTGGATATAAATTTAATATCCTTATCCGTAATCTATTCCTTCGGCCAACTATATACTAAAGTAATATTTTAATAAATTATATTTATAAATTACTCTATTAATTATATCTCCTTATAGGGTAAGAAATAGCTCTATTTAATTAGTTTATTTACTATTATTAGGATACTATTATAAGTAATTCCTATTATAATATCTATAAACGGTAGTAATTTAATAATAAAATTTATAGTTATTAAACTCTACGGCCTTTCTACAACTTCTAAGGGTTCGAGGAATCTATATAATTTATATTTTATAATCCTAGTTTTACTATAATACTTATAGGCCTATAATATTCGAGCTACTTCGGTTTTTATTCCTAGAAAATTATAATATTACTATATCCGTACTATAGTTTTAATAATACTTATATATCCTCCTATTTTAAATGTATATATCCCTATAATAAGCGTTTTATATTATTTAAATTAAATATAGGCCTTATTATAGTATTATAGTTTATTATTCTAAAGGACGATTTTATTTTCTTAATTATTTTCCTATTTCTATCGCTCTTTAAAAGTAACGACCGTAATATAAAACCTAGGGTCTTATATTTTAACTTTATAAATAGCGTAATATTCTATTTATTCCTATAGGGGGTATACGAATAATCTATCCGATTATTTTTAAAATAAGGGTATAGAAGCTTTTATAACGTTTTTTATATAATTTACCCGCCGGTTTAATACGTTAGCGCAAACGTTCTCCGATCCCTTCTTATAATTAATTCTAAAATTGAATTTTAATAAAAATTCGGCCCAATATATTTAATAACCGTTAAATACTTTTATAATTATAAAATACCGAAGATTATTATAATCGGTATAGATTTGTATTTTATATATAATTCTACTAAAGTATAGCCTCTATTCTTAAAATATTTTAATAATAATTAAGAATTCTTTATTATAAATAAAATAATTATAATAGGGTCCTTCCAATTTCTTTAAGAAGAAAGTTATAAAATACAATTTCCTATGCTCGTTATATTATTCTAATTATCCTCTAATAGTATAATCCAACGCATTAATCTTAATTTTAAAGGGTTTGCTTAGGTTAGGAAATTTCAATATAAGGTTTACGGTAATTGTATTATAAATAGCCCTAAAAGCTTCCTCTTCCGTTTTTCCCTATATAAAAACGGCCTCTTTCCTAGTAAATTCGTATAGTAATCTAACGATCTTCTTATAGTCTTATATAAATATACAATAGAAATTAGTAAATTTTAGGAATCCGCGGACTTCGGTCGTATTTTTAAACGTTAATTAATTTTATATAACTTCTACTTTACTTAATTCTATCCTAATCTCATTCTCCGAAATTAAATATTTAAAAAATATAGTCTCTCTTATATAGAATTTACTTTTCTCTATATTAATAGAGAGTTTGTATTTATATAATACGTTTAATATTTTCCTTATATATTCCTTATATTCTATAAAAATTTTAGAATAAATAAGGATATTATTTAAATAGTAAATAGCGAATTTATTAAAGTAGGGTCGAATTGTATAATTAATAATAGATTAGAATATTGTAAATATTTTAATTAACCCGAAGGGTATAATAAAATATTTGTAATATCCGTAGAGTATACGAAATACTATTTTTTATTCGTTTCTTTCTTTAATTTATATATAAGTATAGGCAATAGGTAAATTAAAGCGTATAAAATATTATACTCCTCCTAATTAACTTCGAATATATAAAATTAAGGGTAAAGGATAATTATTTCTTATAATCTTTTAATTTAATTACTTATAATTAATATAAAAGTATAACTTTCCGTCCTTCTTCGGTATAAAAAGGATAGGGTACCCTACTAGCAATATAAATTCCCGAATATATCTTCGTTTTAAATTTTCGTCTAAATACTTCTTTAATTCTATATTCTATTTTTCGTTAGTATAATATACTTTAAAGAACTTAAATTTAACTCCTTCTTTAAGTTTAATTTTATAGTCTTATAATCTTCGTAATAGTAATCTTTTAAAGTATTTACTAACGAAAGCCGGGTATCCTTAATATTCTACTAGAATTACTATCTTCGGCTTCTCTATTTATTAGTTCTAATAATAATTAAACTTATAATAAATATTAACTATCAATACCTCTACTAATATTATTAACCCTTCTTCTATAATTTTACTACTTTTATTAATAGTATAGATTATAATTTCTTATACTATTTGCAGTAGGGCTGTAGGAATATTGCCTCTTTAATTTACTTCTTACTATACTCTAAGTTTTTTATTAGTAATTAGGTACGTCCTAGGATATAAGCGGCTACCTTCCTTCTAATTAATATTTAGATTATATATTATATACTATAAGTACCCTAGGATTATATTTTTAAATAGTTTTATTTCTACGATATTAAAATTAACTTCGACCGTTTTACCTTTTATTATAATAGGGAATAGTAATATTTCCCGTTTTATAATCTATATTTCGAAAGGTCCTTTTATTACAAAGGGAACCTTCTTCTTCTTCTAGGGAATTTTTTAATTAAATAACGAACTTAAGCAAAATAAAATTTAATTAAGCTCCGGAATTTATTAATATAAAAATTTAGTAATTCTTTTAATAGGCTATAATTTTAAATTGCTAATCCTCTTTCCCTTCTTCTATAATAGCGACCTTTATAAGTATTATAGGGTTTTGGATTTTATTTTTCCGACGGTTATATCGCCGGATAATTTATTTTATTTAGGGATTTAGTTTCTACCGGGCCTTTCTAAAGGCCCTAAGCCGTTTCCTAATTCTTAGTAATAATTATCGAAAGCGTCCTCTTCCTTAGGTTTAGGCTCGTCTAACGAATAGTATTCTTATAATTATACTAAATAGGCGGTTTTCTTATCCTTAGTACTTTCGGTTGTATTAGCCTATCGGATATAATATATAATTTCCGCTTCGTACGCCTATACTTTCTATTTTATATAAATAGGGCAATCGGACGTCGGATACTATTACTATTAAGGGTTGGTCTTTCCCTATTTTAAATAAATATAAATATTATAGAGGTATATAATAAGTCTCTTAAGTATTAATTATTTGCCCGCTCGTATAAAAGGACGTAGGTTAAATATAAATTATTTATTTATAATAAGGGTAGCTTATAAATTTCTTTAATTAAAAATATATATAATAGGTTTAAGTTATCCCTATCGATTTAGTTTTTTAATAGGCTAAAAACGGTTATTCTACTTCTTTCTATAGTATTTAAAATAATTATAAATAACGTATTAGAACTACGGTATTTGGTAGTAGGCGAAATAAAGGGGGTATATTTATATAATATTTCTTACGATTGATTAATATACTTTAAATAATTTTAAAATTTATTCTTAAATAGTTTATAATTTCCTTTTAATAATAATAGTTCGCTTCTTTTAGAAAGTTTCTTATTTTTCGTACTTTCTACTCTTATTTAGGTAAAATTACTACAACTCCGTTTAGTACCTTCCAACGGCCTAATTAGAATAATTATATTAATATAAATTAATAAATTCGCAATTGCTAAATCTTTTAGGTATAAATACTAAGAGTAAAATTGGCAGTAGGGTAGTATTTATTACGTATATAACCGTAAGGAAAATTCGGTCGGTATTAGGGAAATTATTAATTTCTTCCTATATCGGAATTTGGTACGCCTATATTTAGGGTATATTATTATCCTATACCTCCTCCTTAGGATCTTCTTTATTAAGTCCTTCCTATTCATATTTATTATTAGCCTCCTATTAGGCTTTTTAATCGAAGTCTATAATTCTATTTATAACGTCTTCTAAATCGTTTTAACTATACTCAGTACTAATAATCTTAATTACCTTAATTCCTTCTATTATAACGGTTTTTATTTTCCTCTAATTTAATTATTTGGGCGTACAATAGTCTTTCTTTATATACTTAGTCTTACTATAATTGAAGTACTTAACTTTCGAAAGGTTCTATTTACTTTAATTAATTTAGGTTATATCGATTTCTATAAGTTTTAAATAGGTAATTTTAAAAAGGTAAATTCCCCAAATCCTTTTCTTCTTAATATTAATATAGTAGGTCTTAGAAAGAACGAAGGGAATTACTCTTCCTTTCCTTTTCTATTCCCGTTGGAATAGCCAATCGTCGATATAAATAATTATATCGATATATACGTTAATAGTTTTGGGACGGTTTTCCTTATAAAATTCGTCTTTAACTCTTTCTTTAAGGCTATTATAGAATAATTATATTAGCCTATTATCGTTAATATTACTACGAAGAGCGTTCTATTTAAAGAATATAGTATAGGTTAAGGTAAATTTAGTTTATTAAAATTAAATTAAATATTCCTAAATCCGACGAGTCTTATCCTTTTTTCTAAAAATTCGAGTAAGGGCTTTAATAAATTCGTTATAACTACTTAGAATCTTCTTATTAGAATCCGAAACGTTATTTCCGTTTTTATAAAAGTCTTTAAAAATAGGCTCGTACTAAGTAAGGGCCCTATCTACTAATTTAATCCCTATATAGGCTACTTTATTAAACTTAAAACCGAATTAATTTCTATAAAAATAGAAATAGGTTTGTATTTGGATTAGGAATCCTATAAGGGTAGACTACTATCTATTATACTCCTTAAGTACGGCTAATTTAAATTTGGAATAATTAATAAATAGAGTATCCTCTCCTACCTTTATTTCGGAAGTATTGGATCTAGCCTCGAATTAGGCTTCGAATTAGCGGATACAATCTTATATAACCTCGAACTATTAATATATAATAGCGAGGTTCGCGGGGTTACCCTAGTAAGTAGGATTATTATTATTCCCGGTAGTAAATATAGTAAAGCGAAGAAATACCTTTAATTACTATTTGAAATAGGTTAAAGGGAGTAGTTAATATATAACGAACGGCAATTTAATTTACCTAAATAAGATAACTAAAGGTAAAAACTATTAGAGTCGTTCGGTAAAACTAAAGGGTTTATAATAAATATATTTATAATACTAATCTTAATAATAATAATTAAATTATATTAACTACTATCGAACTATCTAATAATTTAAATTCTCTAATCGTTCCTTTATACTTCCCGTATTATTTATTCTATAATTGGCTCACTTATATTATTATAATATTAATTTACTCTATAAGCCCGGCGTTAGCTTACTATCGTAAGCCCGGAACTAACTTACTAGTATAAGCCCGGAGCTGGCTCACTAGCGTAAGCCCGGAACTAGCTTACTAGCGTAAGCCCGGAACTGGCTTAACAGCGTAAGCCCTATCTCCAACGCCTTTCTTAACCCTACCCTAGCCCGTAGTTACACGAACTAGCCTTTCTAGGTTGCTTGTGCTACCGATGGTCTGGTTGGCCCGTATGCTTGCCTTAAGTTCGTAACATATAGTAGAGCGAGCTCTCTAAAGGGGAGTAGGGGGGTAATATTATAGGGCTAGCGCTTAGGATTAAAGATTCGGCTTTACTAAATCTACTAAAGCAGGTCGGCTATATTAATAAGGATACGAGCCTCCTAATTAGTCGGATCTATATATTTGCCTAGCCCGTACGCCCGACTATAAAACCTTCTTTTAACTATACCCTTCTAGTATAGTTTTCCCTTTTACTCTCTTTATTAAATATAGCATTTCAACCTTACACGACTACTCGCTATATAATACTCTAGCAGACCCGTTATAGGTATTATAAGGGTTTTTAGTGCTAATTATAGCCGTTTCGCTAATAGGACTAATAAAACCGCTAGAGCGCTAATTACGATTAATTGTAGGATTTCCGTAAGGTTAAGAAATAATACGTCTTATAGTAGTAGGGGCTAGGAGACCGAAATTAGGTTTTATACTATTTTAAATTAAGTGTATAGCGTTTTAAATGGGTTATACGAAATAAAGTAGAGGATTTGGGAATTTACTTCCGGGTTTCGTATTACGTTAGGTAAAATATATAGTATTTTAATTCTAATTAATAAAATAAATCGGGAAATTGTTAGTAAGAATAGTTTTCGGATATTGCTTTATTTACTCCTATTACTATTTTTACACTAGGTGTAAAATAGTTTTAGTTTATACGAAATTTCTAAAATATTTAGTAGTAGGATTAGTAATTAATTGTTAGGTAATATTAATAGTAATTTCGATAATTGAATTCGCTTACGAAATTATTAATTTAGTAGGTAAAAAAGGTCGTTAAATTGGATTTAATTAAATATATTATTTAGTAGGCGTAGGCGGTAAGGAAGGCGGTATAGGAATTTATATTAGGTTAATATAATTCAGTATATTAATTATTCTAATTATATCCGAAAAGTTGGTTAGCGAAGAGTGAATATTAGTAGCTATTGAAGTAGCAGTATTACCAGTACTAGGGGGAATTAGCACTTAAGTAGTAATATTAATAATTGTATTATTCTCTTTAATTCGGATTATAAATTATTTTTAATTCTTCTTCCGAAGTTATAATAATACGCCTTCTTTAGTAAGAAACGGCCAAATT